CGTCGTGCCACCCCCCCTTCCCGGCCCGGCCGGGGCACCGAGGCCGCATCCCCGCCCGCATCCCCGCATCCATCCCCGCATCGCATCTGCGGCGGCGGCGCGGTCCCCTGTGGCGGATGCTGCGCGTTTCCCCGGGCCGCTGGTGCTAAATGCTGAGCACCGACAGGATGGAGGAGTTTCAGAGCGAGGAAGAGGAGCCCTGGTACGACCAGCAGGACCTGGAGCAGGGTAAGGATGGGGGCACCCCGCAAGCTGCCAGGGATGGCGGGCCAGGGGGATGCGGGGGCAGAAAAGGGGGCAAATCCCGGGTAAAAGAGGGTGGGATACCTTCTCTCAAGACTCCTATTTCCTTGGGAAAGCCAGCGCCTCATCCTGCAGCAGCACCTCCGTGGAAATCTCGGCTCCGCTGCTCCAAGCCGCTGTCCTGGCCGTGGAAAGTTTAAACCCGATGGATAGAGGCAGGGATCCCAGATCCGTTCCGAGCACCAAGGGGGGGTAAAAAATTTGGTGTGTTACGTCCACAAGGAAGCCAGTTCCCCCCGAAAACTTGCTGCGGGCAGAATCAACCATGGGTAGTTATGACATTGCTTTCATCTCAGAGCAGTTGCAGGCAGAGTTAGCAGGCACACTAATTAGAAATTAATGCATCAGAAATAATATGTTGCCAAGCTGAGGATGCTGAAAGTGTCTCCCAAAAGCTCTTGCTGTCCAAGCCTAAATCCAGAGGGATCTCCAGCTTCTAAGTCACCTCATTACTTCTGGAGCTTTTTCCAATCAGCCATAAATGCGGGAGAAATTGGGAAGGAGGAAAAAACCCACCAAAAATCAAGGCCAAGTTTCAAAGAGCAGAAATAGCCTTGTTAAAGGATAAACATTCGCTTGTGCAGTTTGTTTTGAAGCGGCTGTACCTACGTTGGCACTCATTCTATGTCCTGTTTATCCTCAGGCTGGACAGTTGGTGGCTGTGGGTATTTGGGGCTTCTTTTTTTTAATTTATTTTACTTATCTTAATATTTTGAGTCAACACACAGTAAGTAAATAACTTGAAAAGTCCTGTTTCAGGCCCCAGGAATGAAATGAACTGATTTGTCATACGTAGGGAAAAATCATTCCTACCCAAAGACAGCAGCCTTCCGACATGTCGCACTACAGGTAGGGTACAGTTATATATTTGCTTTAGCCAGCTGACTGGCAGCGGGGACGTGTGGTCCAGCTGCAGTGCCTCTGCTCCAGTACGTTATGTCACGATTTAAAGTTTACACAACTTCAGCTGCAGGGCAGAGGCCCAGCAAGGAATGATAAGCGGCCCCCCAGGGACTGTTGCAGCTGGTTTTGAACTCCAATTTCTCAGTTAACAGGAGGTGTCAATAGCAGGATACTGGGCCCTGTTCTTTGAAACACAACGCTCAACTTAAGCCAGGGCAGAGCACGGAGATGGAGCTATCAGCTGAATAAACAGAGAAGCCTTTGAGGGCTCAGAAATTCACATTTCTGGGTGACGTCTTCCCAGGGCTCACAAGGGGCCTGGGCACTGGTCCAGGGGCAGGGTGCAGGCTGAGGAACAGCAGAACTACGGATGAATACAGGGAGCGTTGAACAACACGGGACCAATTGATTTTTAGCCTAACGCTGTCCCCGGTGTCAGGTTCGTGAGTCAGCACTGGCACCATACAACTGGCTCACAACAATAAAAGCACCTTCCCACTGCAGGCCAGGTTCCCAGCTCTGTGCTGGCAGCGTAAATGCGGAATAACTGCCTCCGGATGATGGATTGATACTGGGGAGAGACTCCACCTTTGAGCACATACAGGACTGGAGGAAAACAGACCCAAAACAAAGCCCAGCTGTGGGGTTTGCAGCCTCCTGTACGAATGGGGGCTGCACAGGCTTGCACAAACTCAGAAGGAGAGATGGGGAAGGCTTTAACTAAAATCAGCCAACTGGAAATTACTACAGGGTAATTACAACCGTAATTAATTTGCGTGGTGCACAAAACATCATGAAGGACAGCGCTAGACTTTGTCCACATACACCGTGCCTTTGCATTACATCCATAGCAGCATCCGGAGGTCTTTGGTAACGGCCCAGCCACGAAGCCGTTGGGTCGGAAACCGGGGGTGGAAGTAGGGTGGAAGACGTCCAGCGTAGCCCGATTACGAGGCGGCCGCGGGCCAGCATTACTAAGGGGATCGGCATGCCAACGGCCCGGGGTCGCGCAGAAACCCACGGCTGGCAGCAGCGCCAGGAAGGCGGAGGACAAAAGCACAGGCTTAAAGACTGTTCCTTAGGAGCGAGGGGTGGGAGAAACGAGAAGCAACCTAAGCTAGGAGAGCGGAGAGGGTTCTTCTGTGAACCAGTTGGTTGCTGGGCCTTTATCGTCATTTCACAGCATCATCAAATATTTATTACATTTACATCCAAAACTGTTTGCTAAGCAACGGATGGCTTAACTGGGAGCTCTGTGATGATTATGTTAATTAACCATTTTAGCACCACATGCCTCCAGCTCCACTCCGAGCACCTGTTACTTTCCTCCCCGTCCTCCACAGAGCTTTGGCTTGCTGAAATAACTCATTTTTTCAAGAAAATAAATGCCAGTCGCTCTTTTTTTCCACTGAAGTACCCACAGCAACTGACTGAATCCACCACTTGCCTTGGAGGCAGCAAGATCTGGTCCCCAGCTTCAGGGCCCTTCCAGCCCCGTTCAAATGAAGCCGGTGCCTTTCAGATTCCTTTACCCGTGTCCTAGCGTGCTGTAAGCCCGCGTGGTTCGAGGCGTTGTACCGAGATGCTGTAGCACGTAGAAGCAGAGACTCAAATCCCAGCCAGGAGACTTGGCAGTGACATGGAAACAGTAGTGGGACACCTCCTCCGAGGTGTTTCATTCTTATAATGTTCCCTCTGGGAAGGCTTCCTAATTTAAAGAAAGCGGTAAAAATGGAGCTCTGATTGTTGGGTAGCGTGGCTTTGCTTATTGCCAGGCTTTCCAAGCATGAATAGATGCCAGCACTGCTTTGGTTCAGCCACAGCCTCACCTTCCACGGGCTGGGGAATCTGTGCCTCTAAGCGTTAAAACCAGCATACAGTGATGGTGAACCTTTTTCCAGCCATTGAGAACTGGTGATGTGGCTACAGTTGCATCATACCCTGTGTACAGGGTGTACGTGCAGCCAGACCCCAAGAGAATGAATGAGCTAAAATGAGAGACTCTGAGCTGGGGATAAGTGGGGACACCTTTTCTGTTCATCAGAAGCATTTGTGTTCGGAACGGCTGCGTGCCAACTCAGTCGCATCTGGATCCAAACAGAGCAGAGAGCAGACCCAGCAGATATCTCTGCCAGCCACTTCCAGCCTTCATCTCCCCCGCAGCAACCTCCTAAGACGAGTCTTCCTCGCAGTTGCCCCGCTGCATTCCCTGATCTTCCCAGCCTCCCTATCCCCCTGCCAGCATTCAGGTCTAAGCCAAGGAGCACAAAGTGCAGCCCAAGAGGAGGGCTCTCAAAGCCACCCTGGAGCCTAAATACAGCCTAAGTGCTGGGGTGATTCCTCCCGTGTAAATAAAGCAGCCTTGTACCGCTCTGAGTTAGCCAGCGGGACCAGAGGTAGCACAAGAACCAGCGCATCATCTCATTGCCGCTGCGAGACTGACAGTCCTTTCCTCCTGAGCAGCCACAGAAACTTTGGGGCCAAACCATCTGCAATGCAGGCTTAGGACTTTATGGCTGTAACCTCTAAAGGTCTCCAGATTTAAGTATCTTATTTTAATTCCTTCTTCTCCTGCCAAGCATCTGATTGCTTGCACGCTAAGAAGGAAAATGACACAAGGTGCTGAGCTTGCACCACTCCCAGCTCATGTGTGTAAAGACACAGGGTCACCAGCGCTCCGGTGATCGGCCCCTGACGTTGGGATGAACCCAGGGGATCAGTGCGAGCACCCGCTAGCACCCATACCTGCCCGTTTTCTGCATCGCCCAGCCTACGTGGGGTGGTCCCTAGAGCTGCAATGCACCACCAGCTTGCCCAAAGGACTCACTGCGGTGGGGGGCTAGTGGTACCCCAAATTCCGTCCCTCGTGAGGCAGGTATCCCAGCAGCGCAGCCCGGGGGACGAGCCACCCAGCTTGCCTGTCCTCCAGGAGCGCAGCGGTTAACTCGCTGTCCTTCCTCCCCAGCGGCAAGCCAGAAGGACGGGGTTTTGCCTGCAGTAGCTGAGCCACTTACTTATTTAGGAGCGCGGTACAGCAGGTAGCTTATGGAAGCGGAAAGTTTTCAGTGACTAATTGCCGAGCTGCTTGGGAATGACAAGAGGGACTAGAAAAGTCACAGGAGACAAGGAAATAAGATGACAGTTAGGTTAGTCTGAGGAAGGGCTGAGAGCCTCCGAATCTGGGGAGGAAAAAAAATGAATATATATAGAGATGTATTTGCCTAGAATAAAAATTGCCCTGTTAAATGAAGGCAGCAAGAAAAGAGAGCCCCGCACAGCAACTTCCAGGATCTCCCTCCTAGTCTTACATACTTCCAGCTGTGGGAGAAACTGCTGGAAAGGAAAGGAGAGGCAAAGGGAAAAAAAAAAAAAGACAAGAAAAAAAAAGAAATCCGAGTTTTCCATATCTCCCATCCTGAAACAATCAGCTAACAGTGGCATTTCTCCTTGGCGAGGCCACGTGCAAAGGATTTACGGCCCGAGTCCTGAAGGACATTCCTCCCCCAGCAGCCCTGAGCCCGAGGGACCGGGAGCCAAGGCAGCGGCCGCTAACGCCCTGCACACGGAGGCTGTCCCCCCCACCCCTGCATTTTCCAGCCAGCGCTGGCTGGTGACAGGGCGGCTGCACTGACTCAGTGTGACAGCCAGGAACCACTTAGAGCTGTGACAGCACCACGGTCCCATCCTGCTCCTGCTAAAAGCAGTGCCAGCGCTCAGGCTAACGCACGGCTTGCTCGCTCCTGCCAACGCTCCATCTCCACCGCTGAAAGGCCTTTCCCAGGGCAGCACGGTGGTGCGTTCCCACCTCACCCAGCTGATACCTCTGTGTGCTCACACCAAACGCATCATTAGGGCTTCCAAAGCTTCTGCTTAACCTACTCAAAAACACATTTGTGGGCCAAGAATTTAGGAAAATATCTCCAATGCAAAACATCCTGAAGGAATGAGACCAGATGTTACACAACTGCCGGTCTTTGCACAGCTGGGAATTTTAATGTGATTTTATGTTAGAGTTTGTTCTT